CCCCGGGCTCCGCCTCGCTGCCAGCGGGCGAGTAGCGGGCCAGGTTTTTACCAGAGTCAAGGTGAGGGAGCCGCGAGCGCAGCGCGCCAGCCGTGGGTGGGGCGAGCGGGACGGCGAGGAGGGAGCCCAAGGGAAGTGTCGCGAGAAGTGCCGAGGATCGCGCGAGACGTGGCACCTCCTGCGGGCAGGCGCCGGGGCGCGGGCATGCGTACGGGGGGTGGGGGGGCGCGCTCCGCAGCGTTCCTGGCCGTGCGGCTGAGCGGTGGTTTGAGTCTGGAGGCCCGCGAGTGCTGCGGGGAATTTCAGCGAGAGGAAGCCACACCTCCCCGGTTTGGAGGGGAGCGGCCCCAGCGTGCGGTGGCCAGGGTCGGCGGAGCGCGGGGTTGGGGTGGGATGGCGCGGGCACCGGGGCGCCCCGCTCCCGGAGGGAACGGACGGGAGGAGATCCAAGAAGGACCTCGCGTGGCAGAGGAAAGCTTCATCCCTCCCAAGCCGCGGCCATTGCGTGCGAAGGATGGGAACCCTTCTCTGCCAAGGACTATGTACACATAACCTCCTTGGCGGCGCAAACTAAATGACCAGCAGGCAGATGGCCGCGGGCAACCCAGGCAAAGGACACGTCTTTCCGCCTGGTACCACATGGTAAGCGCCGGGCCCCACTTTCCCGAACTCACTAGCGGCTGCCCTCAAAATGTCAGTAAAAGATGCCGACGGAGCCGGGCGCCGGCGGCTCACGCCTGTAACCCTAGCTACTCCGGAGGCTGAGATCTGAGGATCACGGTTCAAAGCCAGCCCGGGCAGGAAAGTCCGTGAGACTCTTCCCTCCATAAACCACCAGAAAACCGTAAGTGGCGCCACGGTTCAAGCGGTAGAGCGCTAGCCTTGAGCTGAAGAGCGCAGGGACAGCGCCCAGGCACAGAGGTCAAGCCCCACAACTGACCAAAAAAAAACAAAAAAAAAAAAAACGATGCCGAGCCGACAGCAGGTGAGCCACGGAGCTACAGCGACAGTTCTGTCCACAGACGACCTCAGGGAGGTGAAAAATTTGAAAGGATTTCCCAATCGGGGCTGAGCAGTGCGCCTGCCCAGCTCTCCCGAGGGTTTCTTTTTGGGGAGGACCTTTCTCCCTGTATTATTAAAAAAGACACTTTTATTATTTCCTAACTAGCTTATAGGGCAGAGGTTCAAGGAATTTATTTCTCGGGAAACTGGAGAAAAGGCCAATGAAAAAGGAAGGGAAAGGGATAACAAAATGGTAAAACAAATTCAAAGGGTGAACCAATGCAAGAGCAATACTCACAAGACACCAAGTTGGAAATGAACTCTGCAACCTGGGGAGTGGGGGAATTGAGGAGAAGGAAATTGGGAGAAAAACGAGGGAGGGGGTAACAATGTTAGACAAGAAATGTACTCATCACTTTATGTAACTGTAAGCCCTCTGTTTATTTCCTTTACAATATAACAACAACAAAAAGGAGCCGTGGCTCACCTGTAATCCTAGTTAATCAGGAGGCTGAGATCTGAGGATCGCAGTTCAAAGCCAGCCAGGGCAGGAAAGTCCATGAGACTCTTATCTCCAATAAACCACCAGAAAACCAGAAGTGAGCTTGAGGCTCAAATGGTAGAGCGTTAGCCTTGAGCTGAAGAGCTGAGGGACAGTGCCCAGGCCCAGGGTTCAAGCCCCACAAATGACAAAAAAAAGGAAATTTTTGTAACACGCAGATTTTCTTTAGGGTAAGAGGCACACACAAATTTCCACATTTTATACTTTCCTCCCAACGTTTGAGTGGGGTGGATAGGGGGTGGTTTTGTTATTTGGACTTAGAGGTGCTTTTGTGTGTGTGTGTGTGTGTGTGTGTTTTGGGGGGGGGGCGTTGAGGCAGGGTCTTGCTACATGGCCAGCCCAAATTGGGCTGGAACTCTTAATCCCTGCCTGCCCTACAAGTGCTGGAAAACAGGCATACACCATTACTTCTGGCTTCTTTACACTTTCATTATTGAGGACCTTAAAATGCATTGCTTATATAGAATATATATCACTGTTACTACTAGAAATTGAAACTGACAACTTTAAACATTAAAGCATCTAAAATAACCATTTTTATGAAAAATACAACTTTAAAAAATCAGTGAGAATGCCAATTGCATTTTATTTTTGTAAATTGCTTCAATGTCTGGCTTAATCGAGTACCACTGGATTCTCATATATACTGAGTCACTGGATTCTCATATATACTGAGTTCAATCTATTAAGATCTCCTAGCTGGGGGCACTGACCAGTGCCTTTATATCCAGCTATTTGCAAATCTGAAGCAGGAAGATGGCGTTAGTCCAGGAGTTTGAGGCCAAACTAAGCAACATAGGAAGATACTACCTCAAAATAGAAAATAAAATTGCTGTGATGATTGAAGTAAGTATATGAAGAAAGGCTGGCTTTTCTCAAATATGAGTTTGCAGAAGGAAGAACTACTTAGCAGCCATTTCAGGCCACCCATGGAAGTAAATGCCTTAAGTCCCAGCACTCAGGAGGTTAAGTAGGAGGGTCTTGAGTTCAAGAACAGTTTGAGCTACATAACTCAATTCTATCTCAATAAAACACAACAAAAAGAGAAAAAACTTTTTCAAATTATTGAATTATTGGATTTTGAAACTGGGACTTGTGCTTGTGAGACATGCTCTACTACTAAATTAGACCTCTAGACCCAATTGTGGATTGATTGTTTTATGTCAGTTGTGGGGCTTGAACTCTGGGCCTGATTGCTTTTCCTCAACTCTTCAGCTCAACAGAGTGCTCTACCACAGCCACAGACACAGCCCCACTTCCTGTGGATATTTTTTTTTAACACTACACTAAAAAGTGCACTAATAGTAGAGGTGGTTATTTTGAGTTGGTTGGTTGGAACTCAGGGCCTAGGTCATGTTAGGCAAGTCCTCTACCACTGAGCTACAACTTAGCTCCACAAAAAGTGGTTTCTCAAAAGTGATTTACTTGAGATACGGAACTTTTTATATTCTGTGGGGGGGGGGTGGAGTGGGTGGGTGTTGGTACTGAGGCTTGAACTCAGAGCCTGACAATCTCAATATTTTTGGGTAATAGGTGGTATTTAGCACTTGATCTATGCCTCCAGTCTGACATTTTGTTAGCTAACTGATGAAAGAAACTTTTCTGCCTGTGCTGGCTTTGAATCTCAGTCTTGGATTTCAATCTCATGAGTAGCTAGAACTATAGGCATGAGCTACTAGCCTCCAGCCCAAAGCCCCATACTTAAATGGAAAAATGATAAAACGGGACTTTACCAAAACACACTTTTGCTCAATAAAACATCGTGTTAAGACAATAAAAAAGACAGGCTAAATATATATTAAAAAAAAAAAAAGACTAGGGCTGGGAATGTGGCTTAGTGATAGAGTGCTTGCTTAGCATGCATGAAGCCCTGCCTGAGTTTGATTCCTAAGTAGCACATAAATAGAAAAAGCCAGAAGTGATGCTGTGGCTCAAGTGGTAGAGTGCTAGCCTTGAGCAAAAGAAGATCCGGGACAGTGCCCAAGCTCTGAGATCAAGCAGGACTGGCCAAAAAAAAAAAAAAGAAAGGACAGGCTACCAATTGAGACAAAGTTTACAAACCACATATCCAACAAAGGACTAATATCTAGAAAACAAAGAACTTGCAAAGATGGAGCCCACATAACACTTTCTAATACCTTTTTTTCAGTAAGAGAAACCAGCACTTTTGGGGAAATAAATGAGGACAAAACTTATAAAGTGAGCCTGGTGGTGCTGGGAAGGTGGCTCAGTGGTAGAGCGCTTGCCTTGCATGCTTGAAGCCCTGGGTTCGATTCTTCAGCACCACATAAGCAGGAAAAAAAAAGCTGGAAGTGGTGCTGTGGCTCAAGTGGTAGAGCACTAGCCTTGAGCTGAAGAGCTGAGGGACAGCACCCAGGCCCAGAGTTCAGGCCCCACGACTGGACCAAAAAAAAAAAAGGTGAGCCGCTAAAGATTTTTTTTTTTAATTTGCCTCTGAGCTGAGCC